CTTTATCATTTTAATTAAAATAACTTGTATTTAAGTTAATATCATTTATTTTTATTGTGATATAATCAACAAATATATATTGCAAAATAGAATATCAATAAAACATGAATTGAACTAACAGATTTAATAGAAATTAATATTGTACTAATAGACATTAATTATTTTTTACGATTTTTTTTTCCAGTGAAAATTTGTAATTGAAGTTACTATAATTAGTTATTTTTTTCGAATTTATTCTTTCAGCCAAAAGGCATAATTATAGTTACTATAGTTAACTATTTTTTTGACGATTGTACAAATCATAACTCCAAATATAAAAAATTGTAATTATAATTACTAATTGACATACCATCATTTATTTTATGATTGTGCTTAATCAACAAATACATATTGCAAAATAAAATATCAATAAAAACAAATTGAACTAACAGAGTTAATCGAATTAAATATCGTATTAATGAGACATTAATTATTTTTTACGAGTTCATACTTGCAGTAAAAATTCGTAATTGAAGTTAATGTAAATTAATTATTTTTTATGCATTTATTCTTTCAGTCAAAAGTCATAATTATAGTTACTGTAATTGACTAACTTTTTGACGATCATACAAATAATAACTCCATATATAAAAAGACGTAATTATAATTACTAATAACATACGATCAGTTATTTATGATTTTGTGTGTGTTTGTATATATATGTGTGTGTATTGTAATACAAAATACCAATAAAAATAAAATTGAACTAATAGATTTAATCGAAATAAATATCGTGCGAATGATGCATTAATTAATTTTTACGAATTTAGTCTTTCAATAAAAAGTCATAGTTGAAGTTAATGTCATTACTATTTTTTACGAGTTTATTCTTTCAATCAAAGTCATAATTATAGTTACTGTATTTAACTATTTTCTTACGATAGAACAAATCATAACTCCACATATGAAAAATCATAATAATAATTATAGTTATTGTGAGAAACTATTTTTTATGAGCGTATCATAACTCTACATATAAAAAGTTGTAATAGTAATTACTGTAATTAACTATTTTTTCGATCATATTGAATCATAACTTTACATATATTAAGTCTTAATTGTAATTACTAATTAACATATGAAAATAGCAAACACAGTCATTTACTTATAAACTTTATTTAATTTGAATAAACGAATGAACAAAATAATTTACTTATAATTTAAATCTAAAATAATGATATTGGAACTTTTTATGTGTTATTCTCGTATAATTTGTGTTATCTAGAGAAAATAATAACATCAAATAAAAAATTAAGAGTGGAACAAACTAATAACCCAAATAATCCATTATATTAAGAATGAATTAGTTATCAATTTTAATAAATTTATCATTTCAATAAAGGTAGTGATATTCTCGTTATTTTTGTGTATTTCAATAAATATCTATTGAAAAACACATGCACGCGCGCACACTCATACATGTACGCACACACACATACAATAAATTTTAATGATCGTGCTAAAAATAATAAATATCTATCACAAAATAAATAATCAAACAAAAACAAATAAGAAATTAAACTTACAAACTTGACCCAAATAATTTATTTTATTAAGAATACATTTACATTCTTTTTAGATATTTTTATTTATTTCAATAAAAAATCACTTATAATTGATATCTTTTTTTTTTTAATGATCGTGCTGATATCAAAAAACTTCTAATACAATATTTATGCAGAAAAAAAGAAGTTGGGATAACAAATTCTGTCCAAATAGTTTATCTCATTTAAAGATAACATTCATTATCTTGTAAATAAATTTATAATTTTAATAAACTTATCCTTAAGTTAACATCATTTATTTTTATCATTGTTATATAATTTACAAATATATATTGCAAAGTAAAATATCAATAAAAAATGAGTTGAACTAATATATTTAATCGAAATAAATATCATACTAATAAGGCATTAACTATTTTTAACGAATTTAATTTTTCAATAAAAAGTCATAATTAAATTTAATACAATTAATTATTTTTTACGAGTTAATTTTTTCAGTCAAAAGTCAAAATTTGCAAAATATTAATAAAAATGAATTGAAGTAATGGATTTAATCGAAATAAATATCGTGCTAATGAGCCATCAATTATTTTTTTACGATCTTTCAGTAAAAATGTCGTAGTTGAAATTAATGTCATTAATTGTTTTTTAACTATTTATTATTTCAATCAAAAGTCATAATTATAGTTACTGTAATTAACTTTTTTTTTTTACGATCGTACAAATTATAACTCCATATATAAAAAGTCGTAATTATATTATAGTCATTGTGAATAACTTTTTTTTATGCTCGTATTATAAACCTACAAATAAAAGGTTGAAACTATAATTATTGTATAACTATTTTTTCAATCGTACTAAATCACAACTCTACATGTATAAAGTGATTGTTGTAGTTATTAATTTACATATCAAATAGCGAACATAATCATTTACTTAAAATTTTATTCAATTTGAATAAACGAGCGAACACAATAGTTTACTAATAACTTAAACCTAAATTAATGACATTGCAACTTTTTATGTGTTATTCTCGTGTCACTTGTGTTATTAAGCGAAAAATAATAACATGAAATTAAAAAAAGTAAGAGTGAAATAAACAAATTAATCCAAATAATTTATCGTATTAAGAATGCATAGTTATCTTTTTTAATAAATCTATTATTTAAATAAAGATCATGTTATTCTCATATTTTTTTGTGTATTTTAATAAATATCTATCGAAAAACACACGCATACATACAAAAAAAATTAATGATCGTGCCAAAAATAAAAACATTTATCGCAAAATAAAACATCAAACAAAAATAAATAAGGAGTTGACCCTACAAATTTGACCTAACTAAATAAGGAGTTGACTCTTTCAATCAAAAGTCACAACTATAGTTATTATAATTAACTATTTCTTTTACTATATCACAAATCGTAACTCCAAATATAAAAAGTTGTAACTATAATTATAGTTACCGTGAATAACTACTTTTTGATGGTTGTATTATAACTTTACATATAAAATGTTGTAACTGTAATTACTACAATGAATTGTTTCTTCGATCGTACTAATCATAATTTTACACATATAAAGTTGTAGTTATATTTACGAATTAACATATAGAAATAGCGAACACACTCATTTAGTTAAAATTTTTATTTAATTTGACTAAACGAACGAACACAATAATTTTACTTATAATGTAGATCTAAGATAAAAATATTGCAACTATTTATGTGCTATTCTCGTGTCACTTATGTTATTTAGCGAAAAATAATAACATAAAACTAAAAAATATTAAGAGAGGAACAGACAAATTAACTTAAATAATCTATCATGTTAAGAGTGCATTAGTTATCTTTTTTAATAAATCTATCATTTCAATAAAGGTCGTGTGATATTCTCGTGTTTCTTGTGTATTTTGATAAATATCTAAAGAAAAATATACACATACTCGCACACATACAAAAACTTTAATGATAGTGCTAAAATAATAAACATTTGTCGCAAAATAAAATATCAAACAAAAATAAATAAGGAGTTGAACTTATAAATTTGACTCAAATAATTTATCGATTTAGGAATGCATTTATAATATCATTTCAATTTTAAAAAATCACCCTTATAATTGATATCGTTATTTCTTTTTTTGATGATTGTGCTAATATCAACAAACATCTAATGCAAAATATATGTATAAAAAAAGAAGTTGGAGTAACAAATTGGATCCAAATAATTTATTGCATCAAAGATACATTCATAATCTTGTAAATAACTTTATAAGTTTAATAAAAACTTGTACGTTAGTTAATCAAAATATAATCAACAAATATATATTGCAAAATAGAATATCAATAAAAATGAATTGAACTAATATATTTAATCGAAATAAATATTGTATCAATAAGACATTAATTGTTTTTTACGAATTTATTCTTTCTCTATAAAGTCATAATTAATTTTTTCGTGATTATTCTTTCTAACAAAAATCATAATAATATTTACAATAATTTACAATTTTTTTGACGATCGTACAAATCATAACTCAATATATAGAAAGTTATAATTATAATTACTAATTTACATAATATTATTTATTTTATGATTCTGTAATCAACATATATAATATATATTGCAAAATAAATTATCAATAAAAATGAATTGAACTATCAGATTTAATCGATATAAACATCGTACTAATGAGACATAAATTATTTTTTAGAGTTTATTCTTTAATGTAATGACCCAAAAGCTCCTCTTTAGAATTTTGAATATTTATTTAACTTAAGTTAATTAATCGATAGTTTATGGGCTAAAGTGATAATTTATTTAAGACCATATACCATTTAGACTATATTCAATAAAATATGTGGGTAAAACCTATCACTTTTAGTACATAATTAATTAAAAAAAAGAAGAAGAAGAAATAAGTAAAAGAAGAAAAGGTCGAACGCTAGAGGCGGCCGAAGGGTTTGCAGGTAGCTGATTTCCCATTTTCTATATGCCTGCTACATTAATTTTCTCCACTTAGTTTCAATTTCTAGGTTACATGTTAAATTATTATTTTATCATGAAGTAAGGACATATTGTTATGCATATATATTAGTTATTATTATTATATTAACTAGGTAGAGATTAGTCCGTGCAAGCACGGGCCCAACATGAGCCCAATATAATGAATATTTAGTTAGAATTGTTTTGTTGAGAACAAGTTATCTAAAATAATTAAATTTTGAAATAAATTATTATATATTTCATCACTACGACAAAAAAAAATCTGCAATAAACAAGTGAACGACTACCTAATATTCCCAACTAAACATAAAATAAAATAATTCAAACATTTTGTCCTGAAATTATTATACATTATATTCACACCAAGTAACTCTTTAGAGTTTGTTTTATTTAAGAAAAACATAGAGTCTGTTTTATTTAAGAAAAACATATACTAATTGAAAAGTGAATAATGTATTTAAAGTTAGATCCAGAGATCTAAAGATTTCTATAAATGTTCTATTTACATATTAACATAATGCAATGAATTAAATTGAAGGTCAGCCAGGATGCAGTCTAAATTGTGATCTCCAACTTGCCCTGTCATATAAACAAGGTAGGACAATACATGAAAATAACTTAAAACAGAACATAAAAGCACAAAGTTTGAATCCTTAAACTCGGAATCAATAAAGTAACCCCAATATTAAACCAACAAAACAAATTACCAAGTCACCAACTACCCAAAACAAAACAGTATGAAATTAAACCCCACATCAAATCAAACGAAGAACTCAAACCATAATAAGAAAGAGCTCATACCTTTATCGAAAAATCACAAAAGGCCTTTGGACTTGAAATAGTCTCTGCAACAATGAATTCAAGAAGAAGAACACATTTTACACAGTGCAGATTTGTGGTAAATTAAAAAAGTACAAAATTATCTGCAGCACATAGATTGAGGAAAATGAAGGAAAAAAAAAGGATCCTAAGAATCAGGATGAATCAATTATAAAATGAAAATTCTCACACCACATAATCTTAATCTAAGCCGTATGTTTTTGGAGGATCATCAAGAGCTACACTTGCAATAGTGAAGGAGAAGAAAATCATATACCCGAAATGGAGATAATCAGGAAGAGTTTTGTAGCTCAAATACATCCTGATTAAAAGACAACCAAAATTTACTGCATGTAAAAATATATGGGGTTTTCATACGTAAGCAGAGGAAGACAACCAAAAAGTCTGAATTGGAAGAACAAACTAACACTATATCTGACAAAAGAGAACCAAAAGTTACTGCATGCGAAAATACATAGGTTTTTCATACATAAACAAAAGAAGATAACCGTAGAGCACTAAGTTCAATTATTTTATGGCCTTTTCTTTGGTGATAGAAGATCGAGAATTCTTTAGTAAAGGCATGGCTTAAGCCCACTTGGGATGGAAGGTTTTTCAACTATTATTACAGCTCATACAACCATTTTTGTATTCTAATTTTGGTATTGAAATGCATTCAGTCAAGAAATTTTAGGGTTATTCACCAATTTCATTTTGGTATGTGAACACTCATATATGAACTCCTTGGTTGGTAAGGGAAGATTTTAATGTGCTTGTGGATGAATATCATAAGTTTGGTGGGCTGAAAATGAAGACTTCTTGTTGCCTAAAGGAATGTCAATTATCAGATATGGGAGTCACTTCACTGGTAGCATGCTCCTTGATTGAATGGCAGATCAGATGAAACTTACATTTCTAAAAGACAGGACAAATGTTTGCATAATCAGATATGAGTATGTTTCCTAACCTGGAAGTGGCACATTTAATTAAGCAAGGATCTAATCATGCACCTCTCTTAACGCATTACAAAGAGGATAGTAGAGTAACTAAGAATTTTTGGGTGGAACATAAGACATTCTGGGAGGCAGTCAGGCAGAATTGATCAAGGAACTTTGGTCCAGACCGTATGGTTATTGTACATAATAATTTGAAGAAGGTCAGTAAGGCATTGTCTAAAAGGAGTAGCAATTTTTATGGTGACACACTGAAACAGATAGCAAACTCTAGAAGTAGTAGCTAAGGTCCATGAGCTGGAATTTGAACAAAATCCTACCTATGGAAACAGGAAAAGGCTACAAAAATGTACAAGCTGAACTGATAAAATTCTATGATATGGTGAAAAAGTTTTGGAAGCAAAAAGCTGGAAAGCAGTGGTTTCAAAATGGTGAACAGGACCACCTAGTTCTTTCATTCCCATGTAACTGATAAGAGAAATAAACTACAAATCAAGAAGATTAAAAATCCTAATGAAAACTTGCTGGATAAGGAGGAGGATATCGTGCAGGAGGCTATAACAATTTACACATATTTATTGTTGAGGATCACATTCCAACAAACTTTCAGATGATACTGAATCATATACCTCAACTGATTAATGCAGAACTGAATAATTAGATTCATGAAATTCCAGAGATAGAAGATGTGAAGAGTTGTTATAAGTCTAAATGTAGATAGTTCAAGTGGTCCACATGGTTCACTGGAAGCTCTACTGATATTGTTCGTACATGATTGAAACAGATGTGCTCACAACGATGCACTTTTACTTCCATGACATAAATTACCGGAGAATCCATTTCGGAAACGTAGAATGTAAGAGAAATTCAAATGTGAAACAATAGGTGAGCTCTTCTACTTGAAATATCCATTAATTATGGATATGGAAGAAATATTCTTTTATCGTTGTACGATCAGCTATTCCCGATGCATCAACAACAAAAATGAGGCACTCCATAATGCAATAACTGCAGAACACACCTAGCAACTTGATCACATCAGTGTGATGCAGAACACACCTACTATTGAACATATTGCGTTTTTTAATTTATTGAACTTTATGACCAAAGCCATGTGAGTTAGCTCTCCCCCATAGCAACAATGTAATAAAAGACTGGTATACCTACTGCCAACAATCATCTCTCCAGCAAGCAGGTTTTATGGAAGGAAGAAGCATAGTTGAGAATATATTATTAGTACAGAAAAATTGTGCATGATGTTAAGATAAAATTCGAGATGTGCAAAAAGATATCTCTCCCATCTCTCTCAAAGCATTAACCTCCTGTAGAACGACTGTAGGCTTGTGCCAATTGTCCTGCCGATACTCGATAGAAATATCGACTCACAAAAACCCAGAAAATTAATTCAGATGGAAAAAGCCATATATGAATGGAGGAAGTTGAAAAGAGTTGTGATATAGAAAACCCAATTAAAGCAAACCACAAAGTAAATTGCGATAGAAAAAGATCAAATTAGCAGCAAATTAATAACTACATACAAGAAAAAACAATAAAAATTTACTGCATGCAAAAAAAACACAACAAAAATCTGAAATAGGAATTCAAGATAAAACATATACTCAACCAAAATTGAATTGAAACCAGATCAATTAAAATTACAAAAACCCATAAAATTAAAAGCATATCAATTAAAAAGGTGCTGTCTGCACAAGCATTTTGTCAAAGGAATGAAGAAAACATTAGTGTAGACTTCCAGAGCTTACGCTTGACTCCGACTTTTGGAAATTTAAAAAGGACCACAACTCATTTTTCTCATCATCTCCGTTATGTCAAATTCTAGAACATTTACACATAATAGTCCAAAATCCAATAATTCAACACGTGAATTTCAGTCTCAATGGAAAATTTGCAATTATTGTGAAAACAAGAATCAAACATAAACCTAAACTATCAGAAAAAAAATTAGATGCAATAATAATACCCAGTTGTGAAACAACTATGAGAAGGAGCATAAGGGTATGTATCACTTACCGGCTCATGTGTTTGCCAAAAATCTGTAGGTAATCAATTTTGATCCAATTGATGCCACTTTATTTTTAAATAGAATTCTTTTTGCATTAATCTCATGAAAGAAGAAGATGTGAAGTTGTTGAACCTCCATCATAGACATGCAATTAGAAATCTGCATGACAAATTGTGCATTGTTGAAGGAGATATGATCTCATATGCAGAGGATTGTTGGCAGATGGAGGAATATGCACATCACACGTTTGATATTCTATATGCATCTTATGACACCTGTTTATCATATTGTATAATGACTAATTTAGCCTTTAAATGTTTTAAAATAGCAAGAAGCACACATGTTGAATTACCGCATTTCTACTATAGTAGTAATTTACTGTTAGTATGATTATTGATTGGTTATTCCATTCATACTTTAAGCATGTTGGATGGATTGATAATTGAATCATTATTGTAATGTGCAATTTTATTTTAGGATAAAATAGAAGAGATAAAACTTGTAGATAAATTAATTGAAAAAAATAATAATATCGGACTTTGAACTAATATGGTTGCCACAGTATTTTGGTGGTTTCTGGGAATTAAACAAATAAGATTTGATGGAAAATTGTTACAATAATCATGCAGTAATCATATAACAACGATTAGGTGATGAGGGGAAAGTTGGGAATTGTCAGAATTGACACTTCCTCTTATGCGGACAATAACTAATTTCCATGCTTAGCGTGAATTTGATGTTTAAGATTCTCTGCACCAATACACTAGGATTCATATTTTGATATATTGAGACTTAACCTTAAGTTTAAAATTTGGAGGAAATTGAATGATTTGACATGTTAATTGGCATTAAGGTTTAAGAACTTGATTATAAATTTGTAGTGAGTTTTTGGGTCAAGGCTAAACACATAGTAATATAAGTGTTGTTAGTTCCAAAATCTTACTGTGGTCATTTACTTGAATAGATTGCTTTGAGTTGGAAATTCAATTAAAGGGAAGAATCAAGTTTCAAAGTGAATAGATTGAATGAGGCAAGTGGATTTCTAAACTCTTGTTAAGCGTATGAAATTCGTGTATTTCCTTGCATGGTGTTGAGAACGATTTAGAGGCTTAATGCTTATTTGTTAGTGTTGTATTCCTTGCTGTAAATTGCTTTTTGTTATCAAAATGGTTATCTCCTCATTTTCATTTGAGCATGTCAATTGCATTGTATCTGAGACATGATTGTGGTATAAGGATGTATCATTTCGAGGGTCGTATTGCGCGCCGCGATGGATATTATATTTCGAGGGACGTATCGCATGTCACGATGGTTACTATTATCGAGGGTCGTGTCGTACACCCAGGTCAGGGCTCGTACGGTTCACAGCAGCGACCTAAAGGGCGAGGCAATTATAGTGGGTTTTCAGGGTCCACACAACAGTTCCCAGGTCAGAGATTTTATTTTACTTGTGGAGATCCCGATCATCTAATGCGATAATGTACTTTACAAAGGGGTCGTGGTGGACCTCGACCTAATTCTTCATTCCAGACTAGACCACCAGCACCACAGGGTAGAGGTCGTGGCAGAGTTCAGTCAGGTAGAGGTGATAGAGTTTCTAGTAGTGGTGTTGCAGCTCAGCAGAGTGGGGGTAGAGGTACCACCCAGGATGGAGGATGACGAGGAGGCCACTGCTATGCTTTATCCGGGATACCTGAGGCGGAGACCTCCGATGCTGTTATTACAGGTATCATCCCAGTATGCCATCGACCTGTGTCTGTGTTGTTTGATCCAGGTTCTACATTCTCTTATGTTTCTACGTATTTTGCTGCTAAATTTGATATGATATGTGATAGCATGACTGTACCTATTCGTGTTTCTACACCCGTGGGTAAGCTCTTAGTGGTGGATCGAGTATATCAATCTTGTCTTATTTCATTGGCTGGGTATGACACTTGGGTAGACTTAATCATTCTAGGGATGGTAGACTTTGATGTTATCTTGGGTATCGATTGGCTTTCTCCTTATCATGATGTCCTTGATTGTAATGCTAAGACTGTGACTTTAGCAATGCCTGGTATTCCGAGGGTTGAGTGGAAGAGTGCTAGTGGTTCTTATCCTAGCAAGGTCATCTCTTTTATCCGTGCTCAGAAATTGGTGGAGAGGAGGTATTTGTCTTACTTAGCATTTATTCGGGATACTAGTGTTGAACAACCTTCCATGGACTCTGTTCCCGTGGTTCAGGAGTTTCTCGATGTATTTCCTTCTGATCTTCCAGGTGTTCCTCCCGATAGGGATATCGATTTTGCTATTGATTTGGAGCCGGGCACTAACCCTATTTCTATACCTCCATATCATATGGCCCCAGCAGAGTTGAAAGAATTGAAGGATCAGTTGCAAGATTTATTGAGTAAGGGTTTTATTCGCCCTAGTGTATCACCTTGGGGTGCCCCTGTATTGTTTGTGAAGAAGAAGGATGGGACTATGAGAATGTGTATTGATTACAGACAGTTGAACAAGGTAACAGTTAAGAATAAGTATCCTCTTCCGCGTATTGATGACTTATTTGATCGGTTACAGGGAGCATCATTATTCTCTAAGATTGATTTAAGGTCTGGGTATCATCAGTTGAAGATTAGGGCATCAGATATCCCTAAGACAGCTTTTCGGATTTAGAGGTGAAAAGGCTAAAACCAACTTTCCTATTTCAGAATATACTGCTAGGGCGGTCAATGATGAGATTAACAAGTTGACTAGTGTAGTAATGGAAGAAGAGAGAGAATTATTAGTACAAGTCCTTAATGGTGGTGACGTGGCTGTTAATGATGAAAATGGTAGTAGTATACAGAATGGTGATGAAGACGACTTTTGGGAGACGTTAGAAGATGATGGACTTGTCAAATGGATATGTTCGGCTTAGGTTTTTTTGTATGATGAAAAATATCTTATCTCTTTGGGTTTGTTTTTTTTCGAGTTCTGTGTCTAAAGGTTTATGGGCATTATGAGTTTCTAGTGATGTCCTTCGGATTGACTTATGCCCCTGCAACATTCATGGAGTTGATGAATGGGGTGTTTCGACCATACCTTGATTCTTTTGTGATTGTTTTCATCGATGACATCTTGGTTTACTCTAAGACTGAGGAGGACTATGCCGACACCTGAGGATTGTACTTCAGAGGTTGAGAGAAGAGAAGTTGTATGTCAAGTTCTCAAAGTGTGAGTTCTGGCTTACTTCTGTGACATTCTTGGGACACGTGGTGTCCAAGGAGGGTATTAGAGTAGATCCGGCCAAGATTGAGGCAGTTAGAGGCTGGACGCGACCTACTTCACCTACTGAGATTAGGAGTTTTGTGGGATTGGCAGGCTATTATCGACGATTTGTTCAGAGTTTCTCTACTATTGCAGCTCCATTGACTAGATTGACTCGACAGGATGTGGGTTTTCAGTGGTCTGATGAGTGTGAGGAGAGCTTTCAAAAGCTCAAGACTTTGTTGACTTCTGCTCCTGTGTTGACTCTACCTGAGTAAGGTGTAGACTTTACTGTGTATTGTGATGCTTCAGGAGTTGGTTTGGGTGGTGTGTTGATGCAGAAGGGGAAAGTGATTGCTTATGCTTCTAGGCAATTGAAGTCCCATGAGAAGAACTACCCTACTCATGATCTGGAGTTAGCGGCTGTGGTATTTGTACTTAAGTTATGGCGTCATTATTTGTATGGAGTGCATTGTGAGATCTTCACTGATCATCGGAGTCTTCAGTATATCTTTAGCCAGCGGGATTTGAACTTGAGGCAACGGAGATGGCTTGAGTTGCTGAAGGACCATGATGTGACCATTCTGTATCATCTAGGAAGGCCAATGTTGTGGCTGATGCTTTGAGTAGGAAGACTCCTAGCATGGGGAGTCTTGCAATGCTTAGTATTGAGGAGAGACCGTTGGCTAGAGATGTGCAGATATTAGCTAACAGTCTTGTCTGCTTGCAAATTTCAGAAGAGAGTGATGGGATGATTGCTTTTATTGAGGCTCGGTCTTCTTTAGTCGAGCAAATCCATGCACACCAATTTGATGATGAAAAATTATGTCTCATTCGAGACAAAGTATTGAGAGGGGAAGCTAAAAAGGCTGTCCTTGATTCTGATGGTGTCTTGTGGATCGGAGTCAGAATTTGTGTGCCCAGGACAGGAGATTTGATTAGATTGATTCTTGAGGAGGCCCATTGTACTCGGTATTCCATCTATCCGGGAGCGGCGAAGATGTATCATGATCTGAGTCAGCATTACTGGTGGTGTGGGATGAAGAGAGATATTTCAGACTTTGTTTCGAGGTGTTTGACTTGCCAGCAGTTCAAGTGTGAGCACCAGCGGCCCGAGGGTGTATCTTAGAGGATGCCTATTCCTACTTGGAAGTGGGAGCGGATTACTATGGACTTTGTTGTGGGTTTGCCTACCACAGTGGGTGTTTATGACTCTATTTGGGTTGTTGTTGATAGGCTGACCAAGTTTGCCCACTTCATCCCGGTTCGGGTAAAGTATACAACAGAAAAGTTAGCCGAACTATATATCAGTCAGATTTGTGCGACTACAAGGAGATCCTGTTTCTATCATATCAAATCAAGGCTCACTATTTACTTCTCACTTCTGGAAGCCATTACAACATGGTCTGGTTACTCAGTTAGATATGAGTACGGCATTTCACCTTCAGACCGATGGTCAATCTGAGCGGACCATTCAGGTATTGAAAGATATGCTTCGAGCGTGTGTGATCGATTTTGGTGAAATATGGGATCGACATTTACCCTTTCGCCTATAATAACAGTTATCACTCTAGTATCCAAATGGCCCCATTTGAGGCATTGTATGGTAGATGGTGTAGATCTCCTATTGGTTGGTTTGATTCGGCAGAGATGGACTCTTTGGATACAGACTTGCTTAGAGATGCAATGGAACAAGTCCGTATGATTCAGTATAGACTGTTGACAGCCCAGAGTCAACAGAAGAGTTGTGCAGACCGGAGAGTTAGAGCCTTAGTATTTATGGAGGGTGATCATGTTTGGCTCCGAGTATCACCCATGAAGGGTGTGATGAGGTTTGGAAAGAAGGGCAAGCTTAGCCCTAGGTTCATTGGACCTTTTGAGATTTTAAACCGAGTGGGAGAGGTGGCCTATAAGTTGGCCTTGCCACCTAGTTTGTCGGCAGTTCATCCTGTTTTCCATGTCTCTATGCTTTGGAAGTATATTTCGGATGAATCTCATGTGATTTCACTCGATTCTGTGGAGCTGGGTCCAGACTTGACATATGAGGAGGAGCCAA